CGTTAAAGAGTATCATTAATGGTCTTCCTTTGTACTACTCATGTGAATTACAGACATGCCTGTAGCAGAAGTGAAGTCCAGTTGGGCAGATGAGGTAGAAGAAGAAGGAGGAGCATTGCCTCCGCCATCAGAATCTTACGAAAATGGTTTTAAAATTCTTACGGAGTACAAGTACAATCAGGATAATAAGAAGGTTAAGGTGGTCCGTACATACAAGATTGAAAGACGTGTAGTTTCTAAGACGATAGCAGCCCGCAAAAATTGGGCTAAATTTGGGGACTCTGCTGATGACAGACCAGGGCCAAATCCTGCCACCACGGTTGGTGGGGAAGACGTTTTCATGCAGTTCATATCCAGTAAAGAAGAAGAGAATAAGGTCGAAGAGGATAATCTCGACAAACTAAAGAATATGGGAGACAAAGGCCAAGTCAAGTGTCGTAATTGTAATGGAGACCATTGGACCACGAAGTGTCCTTACAAAGACACAGTCCTCGCAGGAGGTACGTTCTACTACTACCATATTAACATTTTAAAAGAAGTGCTTAACGTTTCTCAATGTGTGATGTAATTTATAGGAAAAGTACCGGACGACAAGAAACCAGCTGCTACTACTGGTGCTCCTGGAGCGATGACAGAGCTGAAACCTCAAGGCAGTAAATACGTACCGCCCGGTATGCGCGATGGTGGCAGTAAACGCGGAGATTCTATGCAAATGCAAAGACGCGACGACACCACGGCCATTCGTATCTCTAATTTATCAGAGAGTACAACAGATGCAGATCTGGATGAGCTTGTCAAGCCATTCGGATCTGTTCTCAAGTTTTATCTTGCTAAGGATAAACAGACCAATCTTTGCAAAGGATTCGCGTACGTGCATTTCAAATACAGAGGGGAAGCTACTAAAGCTATTGCTACTCTAAATGGCTATGGTTATGATCATCTTATCCTGAATGTGGACTGGTCGAAGCCTCAACAACAAAGTAATTAAAAATGTAATGATGCAATTACGTGGATTCAACAGCACGAAGTTTTGTAGGAAATTTATAACTGTTTAATTACAACTATAGAAGCAAAGACGAGTCTCCACAAATGTTTCAGATAAAATTGCCTCTGTTTCATAAGAACATGTATATCGAAACAGAGTCAATTTTATCTGAAACCTTTTTTTGAACGAGCTATAATTTGACAAAATTATGTGCGAGACTTCGAATCGGATGACTGGTATGTCTAATTGTAAACTAACTTTGTTTCATAGTGCCACGATTCTCTGTCATTTTCAATCAAGACATCTGCATATGCTACTGTAAAAAATAATATATCAAATGTAATTTTTATTCCTAATATCTTTTCAATTAAAAGTAAATCATACACCACAAAATTGTATACTGATTTATTTGAACTCTATTCCAAATGGGTATTTTTAAGATTTTTGTTTTCGTAGATAATTGAATAGGAGCAAGAAATAATTATTAGAGGAAGTATTTATACTGTCAGTATTTTTACGAAAAAAATTAAATTGTCAAATTTAAAGTGAAACTTGTTTTTAATACTTTCATATTAAAATATTGTAGTCAACAAATACACTGAATACATTTACCTTAAACTCAATACAGTATATTGTAATAAATATGAATATCGCAGATCTAGATGTTAGATTTCTATGCGGTACAATTGTGATTCAAATTAAGAAGTAACGAAATTACAATACAAATTAAATCCTAAGTGATACACAAATATAAAGTGAAAATAAAATAAAATAAGATAGTACAAAAGTAACCACACAGATGTTCATCGTCACGTGTAAGTTAAGAACTGCAATTAATCCTAGACCGCCTAAGTACATACTTCCAAATGGTAACTCTAATTAACAACCTTACACTGCTCAACGGAGCCTAACGAATACCATACATATAGTAAAGAAACACGTATTAACTTCTTTTTTTAAATATGCATTCAGAAAACTGTATCATTTGAAAATATGTTTAACAATATAATCCTATAATGTTTCCGTTTGCGCGTCATCGTACAGCTTTGAATCGAAAGATCGTTTTTACTATTTTATTGTCGATTCCTACGAAATCATCACAGTTTATATATATGCTCGTTATCATTGCTTTCCTTCTAACGATTGAACCTACAATAATATACGACTTTCTAGAATTTATAGAAAACTTTTAAATAGTTATGACGCGTCGTCTCACTGCTCGCCGTTTCTTTATTTACAATACTTAGACTTCTCTCTTATAAAAAAAGATTTATTCTGTGTCAGCAATATGTACCGTTTACTGATTTATTTCTCTGAGCACTTTTGTCTCTTTAAATTCGATCAGTCCCACTATCGTCGCAGCACCATCACTGTTAACCGAATTCCGTCAGCATCCACAACGACCCATTAAAACATGGTTCAACTTACTCGTAATTGCAACTTCCCTTAATCGTATCAAGATCGTCGTTCTTAACGAGAAGCTATATGCAGAGAAAAATATCGACTGCAAACCGTTCTTCTTTAATAAGAAGAGAAGTTTCGTCGATTCGTAATTACGTTACTCGCTGTCTCTCCGTTTTTCTCATCGCTAATCGTTTACCAAACGGAGCATTTCTTTTCAGGATTCATCTTTGAGCCAACGGGGCAATTGAAATCCTTGGCGAATTCTTCCATGTTCGACAGAGGACCAAGGACACGGAATTTGCCAGGACTGTGAAAACCGGTTGTAATGCGAAGCTTCATTGCTTCCGGTCGGTATTTGCTGCACCAGGTGTTCGCCGCGCTAATCCAGAACAGTTGTTCCGGGGTGTACGGTAGACCTGGCAATTTCGCTTCTGCATGGTTTCGCTTGACCCATTCTTGATACGCTAAATATGCCTCCTTTATCCCACCATTGTCGGCGATGTTCTCACCTTGAGTATTAATACCATTTAACTGTAACGAAAAACGAAAGAACGTTTCAAACACTTTTTACACGTGAAATGTTTTTCAAATTAAGGGTATGGGAATTGTTTCGGTTAAAACGAAATCCGTTCCTTTCCGTCAAAGTATCTCACTAAATATTTAGGCAAACTAAGACCTCTATATTTATTCCAGCAATTATCTGAAACTTAACTCACAAACTCACAAATGTGTGACACGCACGAGTTTGACCTCTTTGGATAAAAAATTAGCGTTTCTTTTTCGATATCCGGTTATCATTGAAGACCATTCACGTCACCTACTGCACGCACCGAGACCAGATAAAGCTTACGTAAATGAGCGTATCCAATTAAGTAAATGAAATTTTTAGATTATCTTTAAAGAGACTATCCAACAAATATTTGTATTGGCGTAAACGAGAGAAGAGAACAAACAGGAGACAAAAAGGGAAAAAGGAAAGTAGGAGAAATGATAAGATTAAAAAAAACTTACATTCAGGCCAACATCTTCGACGGTATAATTGCCATACTGGTGAATGATACACTCCGCTCTTTCTAAATAATTCTCCTTCGTTTGGGGCGCCCACCAGTCGACCAGATTCCCATCTTTGTCAAATTGTCTGCCTTGATCATCGAACCCGTGCGTTATTTCATGACCAATCACGAAACCAATTGCTCCGTAATTCATGTACCTCGGACGGTCGTTGCTGAAGAAAGCGCCTTGTAAAATGCCCGCAGGGAATTCTGTAAGAATGTAAAAATGGTTTCGTATCCGTTAATTTTTTATCTATAAATGACTGCTCTATCTGATTTTCCGAAGTCACATACTTACGAATACTGTTTTCGATCGACGAGTAAAAAGCATTGACGATAGCAGGCCTTCCGTGAGTCACCCAGTCGCTCTTATTTACGGGTTTCCTCAGTTTACTGAAGGAATACTCTACTCCGAACAAAGTTAAATTTAGAATACCTTCCAGGTAATTGTCAGTAGTTAGTTCTAGTTTTTCATAAAACTCTTCGAGCTTTTTGTCATCCAGTAATTCGTCCGGGTAGGCAATGTGGCTGGACATGCTGGCTGCTTTCTTTAGAGCACTTTTCCTCGTCTCATCGTCCATCCAATCGACCTGGGAAATATTTGAAAAAATTATCAAAAACCTATTAGCCAAAATAATTAATTTTTGTATAAAACAATTTAAGAGAATGTACCTTTTTCAATATCTTCGTAAATTCTTCTCTGATGTCAGCCACCATTTCGACTGCGTTCTTCTTCGCATCTTCTTTGAAGTATTTCCTTACGTACATAGCGCCGACACTTATGGCCAAACTACCGGAAACTGTATCGGTGCACTCCTTCCATCTAGACTCTCTTTCTGTTCTACCACTCAACGCTGTAGAGTATTGCAACTGTCTCTTCCGAATGTCGTCCGTGAGATAGCTGACGGAGGAAGCGGCCGCTCTCCACATCACGTAGTTAGCTTGCACCCTTTTCGGAGTAGAATCCAACAGCTTCTCCAAGTTCGTGATGTAACTGGGAACGCTAACGATCACAACTTCATTTTCGTCAACTTGGATGTTGGGTGCGAGAAGGGTGTTGAAGTATTCTTTCCATGGAACGCTGGGATAGTTGTTTGATAACTCTTGTACTGTCATAGGGTTGTAAAGGAGGGTGGCGTTCCGACGCTTTTCGTTTGGCAGAGAGATCTATATAACAATGATCCTCGTTTGTCAATCATTAATTTAAAAATAATTAAAGTAAATATCCCAATTTCTGTTCCCGTCACAATTCCTACACACTGCCCTATTTTTTATGATGATGTACAAAATTCTGTGGCTTATTTTCTTATAATTTTAGGATAATATATAAATTTCTATTTATTGGCTTATTTTTATATAATTCTAAAATAAAATTACAGAAAGATACGCTAGTGAATAGAAATTGGAAGATCTTTTATAAGAGGATAAAATTTCTTTAATTTACAGCGTGAAGGAAAATAAAGTTTGGCTTACATTGGCAAGATTCATCTCAAACTCCAATGACTCCTTTAATTCTGACATTGCGTCTGTCTTATTAGCTCCCAGAATGACTGCGATATCAACCATGTAATTATAATATGCTTGCACAATTTTGTCATCGAAACCTTTCGACAGATATTCACGCGACAGTCCAAGAGATGCTTGATCCAACTGCAATAAATGTTTATACTCTTAGCTTAATTTCTGGGCGATTTTACGTAATTTCGACAGGCTGAATTTCGACGACTTTACGCAATACTGTTCTCTTCACACTTACATCGATTATACGCTTCGTGCTGTTTTTCAAATCAACGCCAATGCTAAAATCGATGAAGTAATCAACCGAGTAGCCCATCTCACGGAATTTGTAAACCGATTCCTTCCAATTAAATGCGTCTTCGTTCCACTGGCCGCCTTCCAGTACAGGCCAACCACCGAGTTTTCGTAAAATGTTTAACAGAGGATCTAAACCTTGTTGCTCGATAAGCGCTAGGAAGAAATTGATATTCTTCAAGAACACGTAATAGATAAACTGCGGATGTTCATAAATTAATAGGAATTGTAAATAATTTAAAGGAAGACAGTATTCAGTAATACGTAAATAAATACAGAATATCCAATTTATAATATTTACTGGAGAAAACGAATGATTATGTTTCTTTTTTTAATCCCATTTATAAAAACAAGAATTTGCATATTCGCAGTCTAATAACAGCTACTTTCTTTTATCGCAAGAAGATATTAAAGATATTAAATGGGAGATGCATTACTCACTCTTGTTCATGCAAGCTTTGTACAAATTCTTCACGAGCCTAAACGGTTTCGGCTCATCTGGTGAACTCTTTTCTTCAATACTGATCCTTAATTGTTTCTGCAAATCATCGCTGATTCCAGTGAACGTATTTACGCTAGTCTTGTCATCCGGAATAGTAGTAGACTTCAGGAAACCACCGCAAGCAAAATCGTAGAAATCGTCACAGGGCTCTACCTCGAGGTCCATGTTCGTCAATAATCTGGAGGCTGGAATTTCCTGGTTTATTACATGTTGTAATAATTTTCCTTTTCCTACTGAAATTATTACTAACCCGTGTGAATGCATTCTGGCGTGTAGCATACGCCTTCTTCGCAAAAGGGTCCTTTATCGAAGACTTGCGTGTTCTTTTTGTTCTCATATCCGCCCAACGCATCGGCTGTGGACGGTAATCCCTCTGAGTTAACAGGCTCTACGTTCGTGTACAGATGCAGATGCACGTGCAAGACAAAAACAAGGCAAGACAATGATATTAATAATTGTTAGTAATGAGGACCATTCAAGCTGTGACAATATGTAATACTGTCAATGTACATGAAATTGAATACACGTATGTAACGAAAAATATTTATCTGTAATTTAGTATAATTTTATTTTTAACTTAATTTCAAAGTAGTTGTGAATCATTCGAGATGAATGAAACCGTACATGTGACTTGGTGCAACGACGTCAAAATTGTAGTTAGCTTTTGATGCATTGAAACGTGTGCGACTTCCCTACGCTAGAAAGGATCAATCAACGCGAATTCATTTAAAATCGCAAGCTTATTCATCGTTATTCATTCATTCTTGTTAGCCGCATCAAATTGCCTTTTTACTAGGGGAACAATGAAAGGCCCCGATGGGCGAGTGTTCACCTGTTTACTATTCAACGATGGGGAAAAGTTGAGGCCTCGACGGTGGGTTTATCCGACTGAATCGAGTTCGCGTCGATTCGTGAAAAACAAAAAGAAACATTTCGCTGGCGCCACCGAGCCTACGAGATGATTAGTTCTTAAAGCACGATTGTTTGGTGATGATCCGTAAAAATATTCGGATGATTCAATAGTCGGCTCTTTTATGATGCCACCCGGGGGGTCGAACGAAAAATATACAAATTGAGTTCTTCCTATTATTCTTCCACAGTTACGGACGATCAAGAACGATCGGGTGAGTAATCGTCAAAACAACGATCGTTTACCCCGATGCGTCAGAATCGACGCACTTTTATTGACGTCATGATTTTCTGACGTCAAATTACGCGTTTTAGATCGGTCAGAGACTTTATCGATTCCTATAATGGATGTGAAATAAACTGGAAACGATTTTATATACATAAATTCGTGAAATTTGCAATACTTCCATAAAATAGCAGTTTTTGTGAAAATACAGAGAATTTTGTGAGATAAAAATAAAACGGTGTCCTTCGAGGATCACGTATTACGTACTACGTTTAGATAATTAAATTACCAAGCGAATTCGTATTCATTTATGATTGATGACTTGAATAACCGATTACATATCATTTGCAAGGAGACGATACAACGGCAATGTATGTAAGAATTACAAAATGTTTATACGTTTTATCGTCTTTGCATTAATTATGGACCCGCAGAAGTCATAAATCGGCATAAGGAAACAGGCCGCCGGCTATCAATGGAGTTTACGACTACACGATTTTAACCCCGTTCGGCTGGCTTTCACGCATCTCCAATTTTTTCTTACCAACTTTTTTCGACGTAACCGATGAACCGTTATCGAACTGTTCCCTCGCGAGACGATCACGAAACGCTTCCGCCGATTTCTTTCAAGTTAAAACGAAAAGAGAACAAGAAACGATGGAGAGAAAAAAATGTAATAAACCTGCGAAACACGAACGAGTTTTTTTCAAGCTGTATGGGAATTTGTGGACTATTGGCAGGAAACCGGTTTTTACGTTCCTCCGTTTGTTCCTCCCGGTGTAACAGTAAGATTGTGATTGCGTAATTTTAGTAATATTCGCGATAGTAATCGCGTGGAAGTGGCTGACGTTTCAAAGGAGATAATTGTCGTCGTTGCAAATCCGTTGGTTTAATTGGAATAAATTATAATGTAATAGTCGTGTTCGTTGATCAACGCGGATATTAAGCGTCACATTTTTAAGCTTGACAAAGCATGAAAATTATACATATGAGCGTGTGATTCATCGTGAAACGACACTATTAATGCAGATCATTGATACTATTATAGTCCATGTATAGTATAATTATTTTCATACGTAAGTGTTTGGAATTGTCTTACCTTTTCTGGACGGCGCGGTGCAGGATGGAGGATTCGCGGCTAGAACGCCAAGTGCAACAGCCAGCGCGATGCATGCGAGGATCCCGCAGACTGCAATCACTGTTAAACCGCGCTCCAGGGTCGATCGCCTCTTCCACCATGTTGGATTTCTGAAATAAAAAATAATATCTATTAAAATTCGCACGCATATGCACGTCCTTGAAGAGGATTAATAAATTCTTTAAAGCTCGCGAAAGTCGTTTCGTAAATATCATAAAATTCATCAGAATTGTTCGGCGTTAATGGTCCGACCTTGAGCTTTATACTGAAGAAAATACGATTTGCAACGAGAGAGAATATAATACGATTAAATTCCATAAGCAGTGATGATAACTATAATTTTTATCGTTTCATGCTTCATAAAAGCGAACGAAATGCAAAGAAAATTCGAACGAAACTGAGTAGTGCTTCTCAGCTATTTTATACGAAACACTTCGTGCAAAACTTCGTGTGTTTCTTTTTATTGTTTAAGTT